TGTGCATTCCTGCGCTGGGTATGTATCAGCGCAGCCCGCCACCTGTCGTCGGCGCGCGAACGCTCGCGGTGTCTATAATGTGGGGCGCGCGCCCGTGGAGGAAGCCCTCCGAGGGGCCAGAGGCGCCGAGCGTGCCACTAGCCCAGAGGCCAGAGAGGACTCTCGCACGCAACGTGCGACCCTGCACCCCTCCGAGGGGCCAGAGGCCCCGAGCGTGCCCGAGGGCGCGCGCGCGGGCAGCCGCGCATCAAGCATGGGGCGCTGGATCAGCACAGCTTGAGCCGTCGGCGAACCTCGAGCCTCGAGCCATCGGCTAAAATGAAAATAGTTATGACCGAGAGATCGGCCTTGAGCCATCAGCCTCGAGCCAGCAGCTAAGAGGGGGATATCGAAAGGAGGAGCGCGGGGAGGAGGGAGGAGGCAGACGAGGGGAGCGGGCGGGGACGATGGCGTGGGAATGACAAGAGGGACGGGGGAGGGAGCGGGAGGGGGGCGGGAGGGAGGGAAGGGGGCTGGAGGATAAGTGGCAGCGTCAGCAGCAGCAAGAGGAGAAGGGTAGGACGACGACGACGATGACGATGACGACGTCGCTGCGCGGGCGGCCTGGCCCCATCCAGCCGCTGCCTGTCCTGGGTGCGTGGTCGCGTCGTGCCTTGCTTCCTGGTGCATCCTTCCCCTCCCTCTGCTCCCCCCCCCTCCTCCCCCCCCACCACCCCCCCTCCCCCCCCCCCCCCCCCCCCCCCCCCCCCCCCCCCCCCCCCACCCCCCCCCCCCCCCCCCCCCCTCCTCCTCGTCCTCCTCCTTCTTCCTCCTCATCCTACTCCTCCTTCTCCTCCTCCCCCTCCTCCTCCTCCTCCTCCTCCCCCTCCTCGCCCTCCTCCCCCCCCTCCTCCTCCTCGTCCTCCCCCCCCTCATCCCCCCCGTCGCTCGGGCGGGCCGAGCGGTCTACGCCGCGGCGCCGAGGTGCTGGGCGAGCGGCGTGCGCGGCTGGCCCGCAGCGCGCAACTCAGGGAAGCTGGCCAGCATGCCCGCGAGCGTGCTCTTGGCGCGGCCCACGTCGCTGGCGCCGGCGCTGAAGGGCCAGCGCAGCGCGCGCAGGTTGGAGGCCGCGTACAGCACTATGAAACCCGAGAGGATTGCGATCGCGGAGTGGCCGTTCGAAGTCGCACCGTCGGTGAAATTGACCATCCACCCGCCGCCCATTATCTTTTCGCCAAGCTCTCGAGGCGACATCCGCAGCACCTCAGCCCGCTTCCCCTCGTAGGCGGCGCGGAAGGGGAAGGAGGAGAAGGGGGGGGGAAGAGGAGGAAGGAGGAGGAGGGGAAGGAAGACGAGGGAGGAGGAGGATACAAGGAGGAGGAAAAGGGGGGAAATTAAAATGAGGGGGATGGTTTAAATGGCAACGCAATCCTCGCACGTCGCACCGTCGATCTTCTCGGTCGGGAAGCCACAGAAGACCACGTTGCCCGAGAAGACGACGTAGGTCGCCATCATGCCGAAGGCGTTCCAGTCGGCATTCAAGTCGACGCTTCCCGCGCCAATGACCTCCCGCTTGAAAACATTGTTCGCCCAGTCGGCGCGCGGGGGCATGCGCTGGCTGAGGAGGTCCTTGCCCACGACGGCAGCGATCTGCGTGGTGAGCCTCTTCATGATCAGCTTGCCGCCATCAGGAGGCTGCAGCGCGCTCGACGTGCCAGTCTTGAGCAATGTCTGCACCGCCTTCAGACCCTTCTTGACGATGGGGGCATCCTCGAGCGGCTTGAACGCGTTGGAGTCGGCGATGGTCAGCAGCGCAGGCCTCAAGCCGCCCTTGCACTCGAAGATGCTGCCCGCGCAGTTGTGGGCGGTCTCCTAGATGCCGACGAGCGCGTCAAACAGCGGCGGCTTCGGGCGAGCATCCTCCTCGTCGACATTCCGCCTCTTGTTCTGGTCATCAGTCACCTGTCTGCCAAGAGCTCCAGCTGTCTGATTGAACGTCCTGCAATAGTTCGAGAACGTGGCCACGTCATCCTTGTTGAGAAGCTTCTGCTGCGAAGTCATGCGCTGGCGGAGCTCCGTCACCTCAGATGTAGTGGTCGCCCGCTCCAGGTCACTGATGATCTCGCTGAGGTTGGCAATGTGGGAGTCCTTGATGTACTTGCTCGCCCGCTCGAACATGCCCTCGGCGTCGGCCTTCACTTGCACCGTCGCCTGCGCCTGATGAGGATTCTTCTCCGCGAGTCCATCGGCCTTGGCCAGCAACTTGATCTTGTTGGTCCCCAGCTCCTTCACGCGCTGCGTGGGTTTCTCCTTCGCGGCCTCCAACGCGGCCTTCACCGTGATCTTCTGGAGGTTCACCTTCCCAGAGCTCGCCACCGGCTCCGCAGGTCCATCCTGCCCAGAAGCTCGCGCACGGCAATGCAGCGCAGCAGCCATGGCCTCGTTCGCAACTGCCTGCGCTTGGAGCTGCTCTCGCCGCTCAGCAGCCCGCGCCTGTTGGACCCTTGTTGGATCCTTGTTGGACCCTTGTTGGACCCTTGTTGGACCCTTGCTGGATCCTTGTTGGACCCTTGCTCAATCATTGTTGGACCCTTGTTGGACTCTTGTTGGGCCCTTGTTGGACCCTTGTTGGACCCTTGGTGGACCCTTGTTGGACCCTTGTTGGATCCTTGTTGGACCCTTGTTGGACCCTTGTTGGACCCTTGTTGGACCCTTGTTGGACCCTTGTTGGACCCTTGTTGGACCCTTGTTGGACCCTCGTTGGACTCTTGTTGGACCTTGTTGGACCCGTTGGATCCTTGTTGGACCCTTGGTGGACCCTTGTTGGACCCTTGTTGGATCCGTGTTGGACCCTTGCTCAATCATTGTTGGACCCTTGTTGGACTCTCGTTGGGCCCTTGTTGGACCCTTGTTGGACCCTTGGTGGTCCCTTGTTGGACCCTTGTTGGACCCTTGTTGAACCCTTGGTGGACCCTTGTTGGACCCTTGCTGGACCCTTGTTGGGTCCTTGTCGGACCCTTGTTGGACCCTTGTTGGACCCTTGTTGGACCCTTTCGGGTCCTTGTTGGGCCCTTGTTAAACCCTTGTTGGAACTCGTGCAACCCCTTCTCTGGACAGGACAAGGGGGGATACATATGGGGGATTTGTTCACACTGACCTCCGCTGTCATCTTCAGTGGGAGAGCCGACGGATGCTTCGACAGACCCCCAGCTTCGCCCTCGGACTTGTTGATCGGGATGGCGTCCGCTGGAAGCTCGAAGCGCGGCATGTCGGACGAGACGGCAGCCCCCCGCCCGATCTGGGCAATCAGGCTGGAGCCGCCGTCGAGCAACGTCTGCAGCTGCTCCGTGCCAGATGCAACCGAAGACCGCGAAGCGGCGAAGCCGTCTGTGTGCACAACGCCCGTGGCCGACTGAACTCCCGCGAAGTCGGGGGCGCACCACTGCCCACCAGCCCACCTGCACAGCTGAGGGTTCTCCCGGACATACCTGGTGAACAACTGAATCGCGGTGGCCCTATCCTTGCCCTCCATGAAGCTGTTCCTGATGAACACGTCCAGCGGAACATAATTGTTCAACTGCAGGCCGCTCGTCTGGTGCTGCGTCGTGATCTTCCCCTCGTAGACGACGTTATCGAACTTGTGGGCCTCGCCAATGCCGTTGGCGAGCTGGTCCTTGTACCACTGCGTCTGTTGCGAAGGTGTCTGGCCCTGCCACCATGTCCTGTTGCGAAGGTGTTTGCTGCGAAAGTGCACGTTGTGAGAGTGGGGGCGCAGTGGGGGGCCGACTCAGACGTAGGGGGGGACAAGATAAAATGTGTACCCCGTGTCCCCCACGAGGCCCCGGGTCCTGAGAGCCCATCCTGGGCTGCTTGTTCTGCTTCCAGCGGGCGCAGAGGGCCTGGTAGTTGTTCGCGCAGGGCTTGCAGATCATCAAGTTGCCGCGGTACTTGACGACGGCGATCGGGTGGTCCATGCTGCACTTGCTGCACCTGCAGAAGCCAGTCGCAGGCGCCACCGCTGGCTCACCGCGGCCGCTCGAGCATGCAGCGCCGATCTGCGCTGGCTTGGCGATGGCACTGATCGGCGCGATCGCCGTCTGCGGCGCCCGAACAATCTGGCCGAGCGCCTCCGACTTGAGCGACTGAGCACCCCCGCCTCGTTCGGGTGCGACGCTGGGCGCGCCCGCGCCACCGCCCCCCCCCCCCCCCCCCCCCCCCCCCCCCCCCCCCCCCCCCCCCCCCCCCCCCCCCGCCACCCACGCACACACACACACACCCACACACACACACACGCACACACACACACGCACACACACACCAACCCAGGCTCGGCCGCCGCGGGCCCGCCATCAGAAAGGAACAAGTGGGGGCGAGGAGGAGGAGGGGGAGGAGGAGGAGGAGGAGGAGGAGAAGGAGGAGAAGGAGAAGGAGGAGGGGGAGGAGGGGGAGAAGGATGGAGAGGGCGGCTGGCGAAGACATGCCATGCGCCGCCGCGCCTGAGAAGCCGCACAAGCTGAGCTTGGCCAGTTGCCCAACATTGCCAGCAGCTGGGGCACCAGGAGCCGAGGCAGTCGTGGTCATACCGCTGCGCGGCGTGGGCGGGCACAAGGCCTCGGAGTCTCGAGGGGGCGGTGGACTGTCCACGTGGATTGGGCCCGAGCCCAAGGCCAACTGCTTCGCGGCCTGGACGTTGAGCCCGTCGGCAGGGGCCATCTCTGAGTCTGGCGGCGGACTCCCTGCACAGGCTGGCCCCGCAGCCACGCGAAGCATGGGTCAGCGCAGAAAAATGAAGAAGCGAATCAGCTGGGCACCCGACTCGGGCCCAAGCGCTGTTTGAGCCAAGATGGCTGACGGTATCATGTTGCGTTGTTGGCAATATTCTTGTATGCCCCCAGCTCTGCGAAGCAAAAATGCGAAACAAACGAAACCACAATGCATGTGGACTGCTGCGAAGCTGTGCGCGGGAACTTCCAGATCAAGCTGCGGAAAACATGTTTACGGGGTGTTTGGCAACCAACTGTATCGAATTTCCGATGTTCCGCACCCGCTGCCGCTTCGACTTCAACGAGCCTGGAAGTCGCCAAGGCCACATATGATCTGCAGAAGCGTGGCTCCACCAACGAAACCCGATCAATTGTTGGTGACGGAATCACTCACAGGTGCCACTTCGTTTCATGTAACATCGCGGTTGCTGGAACCCCTTAATCACGAGCCCTGACTGTACATTCGCATCTACTGCAGACTGTGAAACATTGAATGCCACGTGCTCCCATCTGTCCTGGAAGCCCGTGGTGGTAGCCCACGTGAACTGGTAGGCGGCCAGTGCGTCGCGATCATCGAAGTTCTCGCACGGGCGCCATTGGAAACAATTCTGGTGGCCCTCGCCAGACACGCAATTCACCCAAGACCTTTGGCGGCCTGTCCTGGTGTCAGTGCAATGGTCAAAGAATACCTTCGCTACGGAACCGCTGCTGTTGGATACTCGAACACGTTACCACTCCAAGCTGTTGAGAACTCTAGGCGCGGCGGGAAGTTCACCACTGCCATGAGGAACGAGAGCAGCTGCTTCGACCTCCTCGTCGGCCCCTGGCTCCTCTGGAGGGGTGTCAACGATGGGGCGGTCGGACGCGCCCCTCAAAGCTCGGCGACACCACCGCTTGCCAGCGCCATTTTTCAGTTCCCACTGAAACTTTGTAAGCCCTTCGCCATGTAATCGCAACAGCGCCTGGTAGTACAAGTCCTTGCCGTCGTGCACGATCTGCACAACACCCCTAGCGAATAGCTGGTCGGCCTCGACCAGACACATGAAATAACTCGATGGCTTCCAAATCCCTAAAACGAGAATCTTAGGGCAAGTACGCCGCCCACTGTACTTCTTGTAGGCGCGTGGTGTCCCCGACGTAGGAGACCAGCCACTGCGGAGCAGCGCAATCACAAAATCCAGCTTGGATCGCCCATCATGTTCGTCAATCTGCAATATCTGTTTTGGCTGGCCATTTGTCTGCACCGAGATGATCTTCACATTGTCGCGTATGATCGCGACCTCTAGGCCAAGGAACTCGGAATCACGCAGAGCAAGAACGCCGACTTCAGCGAGGCTCGTGATGGTTCCAAAATTGACATCGCGCAGCATGGCAGAAGGAATCCACTCACCAACTGACGCCTCGACTTGACCCAAGCAACTTGTGACCCGCAACGCATCATCCATGGAGCTCGCGATCTGCATGGCCCGTTCCATGTTGACCTCCACAGCTGCGACCTGCAAGGGGAGCATCGGCACCACATCTGCGGCAATGGGCACGAGGAGTGAACGTTCAACGGGGTTGCAAATAGCCAGCTGATGTCGGCGAACGCCTGGAGCGCAATCCAAGGCTACGAGAGGCCACTTGAACATCACGGCCATGGACGCACTCATGTTGGCAACAAGCACGCAAAGGTGCAACGTCTGAACATTGTTCAACGCGCTCGTGAGGACGGCTCTCTGCGCCTCTGTGTCGTGGCCGATAACGCGGCGCGCTCCATGACTCGTACCGTGTCGCCCCAGTCGTCGAGATGGTGCAGAGGGATGGCCTTCCTGTTCTCAGGGCGCGCGTTCAGCATCTCACAGAAGACAGTCTGCCCCAACGTGGACGCCATGTCGAACTCGACGGGGTCCCAATCCACGATGGCGCACGCGTCACTCCATGGATCTGCCCCCGATGCGTCGAATTGCTGGGGGCACTGCAAAGCGCTATCCCATTGCATTCTCCGTAAGCTTTCTCCGTAAGCTTGACTTTGAACCAAGTTACGCCTTGAAACCACGCCTTCGGCAAGTCCTTCCTACCACCTGAGCGCGTGGCGACCGTGAGTATTACATTGGATTGGTGGTTCGTGCGCTCAACTGTCATGTCACGGAACCCCGATCCGTAGTCTCATTGATAAATGCGTGGGGTCTTCCCTAGTGCACCCATGCCCCTCAACGCCTCAGCAGGAACCGGAAGGCGCAGGAGGTCGTCGCTTATGGTTGTCGATCTCCACCTCCTCAAACAGAAACGGTAGAAACCATCGTCATTATCAAGGGCGTCTGAATGGAGTGGTTCCGCCATCGTCGCCGACATCCACGGGGGCTGGACGTTCCTTGCCGCCAGGCCCAGGCGGTGGATCACTGCGTGCTCGCCCTCGGCCCTGCGCCCCGTGAGGGGTATCAAGGCGTCGCGCGTGACCCGCGCGTAGGCGACTGGGAAGTCCTTGAGAGAATCACCTTCACCACGTGCGAACATGTCGAGCTGGCGGCGACGCTCCGTTGACGCGCCGAAGAGCACGTGGTACACTCTGTGGACTCTGAACTCCATGTTAACGTCTGTTCCTGCCAACGGGGCTTCTGTTCCTGCCAACGGGGCTTTGGAAATCAGCCCCCTGCGGTGATGGATCCTGATGATGGCGGCGATGATCATGACGATGGTGATGGCGTTGGA